TGATGCTGCCATTAGTAGGCTCTCAATACTCATTTAGACCATGGGCAGCTGGTCAGTCTCCCTACCTTCATCTAATTTCCTTTTCATTATCTTTCCAGAGCTATCTTTCCAATACATAGGTGCCTCTCTGGCAACAACCATCCACCAAAGCCTTCAGCAACTTGTCTTTGGTCTATCTTCCTGCTTTCTCAAACCATTCCAGAATAACCTATGCCCCTTCCTGGAATGTCCTTCTCCATCTTATCTAACTTTCAAAGTTGTAATTATTCTTTAAAGTTAAGTTCAAATGCCACCTCTTAAAAACATTCCAGCCGGGGCCGGTTGGCTCAGTGAATGGAGTGTTGGCCTGTGGATTGAAAGGTCCTGGGTTCGATTCCGGTCAAGGGCATGTACCTTGGTTGCGGGCACATCCCCAGTAGGGAGTGTGCAAGAGGCAGCTGATCAATGATTCTCTCTCATTGATGTTTCTAACTCTCTATCCCTCTCTTTTCCTCTCTGTAAAAAATTCAATGAAATATTTTTTTTTAAAAAAACAAACATTCCAAATATACTTGCTATGCACTGCCCTTTAATATGTTATATTCCTTTTTCCCAGAGATCTATCATTTTGTTTTATAATTATTGGCAATAAGTTGTTTTATCCATGAAACTAATAAGTTTCCTGAGTTAAAGCCCACTGTTAGAATTGTTTCCACATGGACCAGAGCATATATTATATATTAAATTGAGCTGAGTAAGCTACCCTAATTGGACCTATCAAATATTTCAGCTATGTCACGTTTTATTGGTCAAAGAGAAAAGCCAACAGTGGTCTTACTATTATTTTATCTCCTTTAGTGAAAATAAATACAATCTCATAGATTAATATGATCATGACCTCCTGCCTTGAATTCTGGATTCTATCTTATCCGAACAGTTCCATATTCACTTTAATGAGTTCACCACCCCAAGTCCTCGTGGCCTATCAATACAGCCTCCAGTCAACGTGACCAAAGGTGGTCCTTGTAGCACCTGCATTCTTGCCACCAATGTGCAAGTTAAAAATTCAGATTCCTGGACCCCTACTCCTGAATCAGAGTCACTAAAGATGGGGCAGCTCTATCCACGGGGCCAAACCGTGGCTAGGGCTACTTTTTTTATCCCCATTTTGCAGAAGTGGAAATTTAGAGTATGGGAGAATAGGCAAACGGCGAGGTAAGTAGATTAAGTAAGTAATCAGGTGGATAGGTTAAGTTAGATAGGTAAGTAAACTGCTATTACATAAATGGCTAGTTTCAAATACCAGTTCCACCATATACCAGCTGCATGACCCTTGGGGAAACTCACTGAACTTCTCAGTCTCAACGGCATCAGAGATAAGACGAGGGACACACATCATCTCACTCACAAGGTACTGAGGAGTTGCGATGACATGGGGTCCCTCCACTGCCCAGCACAATGTCCGGCCCTCAGTCAGTGTCAGCAACCATTCCCTCACCTCTCCCAGCTTTTTTTGTTTTTGTAAATTTCTGCAAAGAACCTGGGAAGGCCTGTGCTACTTTAAATCATGCCAATAGGTGCCCAGGGGCACTGTTGGCATGCACAGCCAGGAGCACTTCCTTCATCCTGAGGGTTCCCTCAGAAACAAGGAATTCTCCTCTGCCTCTGGCCTCTTTCCAGCCCTATCAGAGGCTGTGATGTGATGTGAGCAGCCGGAGAAAGCAGCCCCATGAGTCATGCTTTCAGCTTCCAGCTGGCCCCGGGGAGGACAGGAAACACCCCATAACCACTGCCAGCAACCATAGCCAGGCTCCACCTTTCCACCGCAGGCCAGGGCGGCGCATGGCCACGCGGCTGCCAGACGGTCCCCAGAGAGTCTTGGCAACTTTGTCACCTTTACTTTGCCAAGTTCCTGTGAACCTGAACGACAAGGATCACTGACAGAACACCGTTTTTGGATCCGATGATGATAAAATCAGATCGTGATTATGTGGCAGGGAGTGAGTATCAGGAACTCTAGTAGCAATCATGAATGGTTTTGGTTTATAGATTTTTTTTTTTCTGTGAACATTTAGCCTTGAGAAGAAGGAAGTGCGTTTATCACAATGTTATGGTTCACGCTTCTAGGCTGGCTTAGTTTCATTTCATCTTGGAGTTCTAGGCTGAAAGCCAAAAAGATGCCAGAATTGTCGCCTGGAGTCCGATGCAAGTTGGACAACGGCCACAGAACGCAGGCAGCCATGACTGTTCTTCGTGTCCGTCAACCTCCTTTTCTCCCTCTTAATAAGCTATGGGTTAGAGAGGACAAGGGTTTCCAGGTCTGGGCCTTCTTTCAAATGCTATTTTTGCTAAATGTTAAAATGTATTTTGCAGAGCAGATGAAAATAGGATGAGCCCGACAAGCTCCCAGTCAGATACATGTAGCCAACTGCAAAGAAGTCAACAGGTGCAGCCTTTCTTCGCGGCACCGTCTCCCCGCTGCTCCTTAGACCACTGGAGGCTTTTGTTTATGGGAACTTGTGGGGCTCATGTTGCTTTTATGGAAATGCCATCTAATTACAAATAGCTGTAGATGACCAGGTGCTTCTGATGAACTGAAAATATGTATCTGCTCTGTGGGACACTTCATGGGTTTCCCCATCAATGCTCTGGTCATGCAAATGATTACTTATGGATGCATTTAAAAAGTAAGAAGAGTGGGGGTTTCTTCTCCCTTAAACTTGAATATTACCTCTGTTTATTGCATTGATTGAGAGATTTCCCATATTTCCATCAGAGTATCCTATTATATAGAATTCACTTATGCTCTAATTCTTAAAGCGTAAGTGAATCCTATATAATTAAGGGCTAATATGCAAATAGATCAAATGGTCAAACAACTAAAAAATCGGTCACTAGGACGTGCGCTGACCACCAGGCAGTTTTGGTTCTGGGTCACTTGGTTGCTGGTTGGTCAGACAGGAACTGTCTCCCGGATGCCGGATTAAGGGCCCAAACTATATCTTAGTCTGGAGGGTTGAGGAATGCCGGCAGGACAAATCCAAGACATCCTGAGTGACAATCCCTGGTCTGGTATTCTTTGTACATTGGCCTTGCTTGTCTCTTATGTAAATGTGACGGCTATGGGAAACTCAAATTTGATCCCCAAATGCAGCTCCTTGGAGTGCACTCTTCAGGACTGAACGAAAAGGGCTGTTTGTTTGACTTAAAGAAACTAAACACTTACAGAAATGAAAAAAAAATATGACAAGTGTCAATGGCATGGAACTGCCTGTCCTGTCCCAGGCAGCTTTGCATCAAGCTGGGTTTGGGGGGCATTGTTTTCTAACTGCAGCTTCTTTGCTTCCTCAGGTTTCAGCATTTACTAACCACGCACAGCTTCTGCCCTGAAACTCTGCTCTGCTTCCTCCAAGGAATGCACTTTCTGGAGCACCCGCAGCCAGGATAGGAGTCATGATGGGAAATGGGACTGGCACCCCAACAACCTGAGCAACCATGGGGTTCCCATTGGACAGGCACACCACCTTCACCGAGGAAAACAAGCAGGTGAGCTCATGGTTTCCAGGGGATGTGATCTGGGACCAGCAAGACTGAGTGACAGAGGTCTGGCTGTGGGACTCAGGGGCCAGCTTATGGCTAATGGTATAAAGACAGACGAGTACACTTGGGGTTCTATGGGAAGAATTATTAGTTTTATCTATGAGCTGTTTTAATAAGACTCCCACTGCTTCTCTTCAATGTTTCCTAGGTGAGTTACAATTTTCTGAGTCCAGGTCTTTTTACATCCTTGATTAAATTCATTTCTAAGTGTTCTTCTTTTTGAATCAATTGTGAATGGGATTGTTTTTCTTAAGTTTCCCTTTCTGATAGAACACTGTTGGTGTAGGAAAATGCACTTATTTCTGGTAATTTATTTTGTATACTGCTACACTGCTGAATTCCTTTATTAACTAAAGGAGTTTTACTTCCTCCTTTCCAATTTGCATGCCTTTATTTCTTCTTCCTGTCTGATGGCTATGGCTAGGACTTCCAGTACTGTGTTGAATAAGAGTGGTGAAAGCGGAAATCCCTGTTTTGTCCCGAACTTAAAGGACACACTTTTAGGTTTTGCCCATTGATATGGTGATGTTGGCTGTGGACTTGTCATATATGGCCTTTATTACATTAAGGTATGTTCCCTCTATTCCCACTTTGCTGAGAGTTTTTATTATAAATAGGTGCTGAATTTTATAAAATGCTTTTTTCTGCATTAATACAATCATGTGGTTTTTAATCCTTCATTTTATTTATGTGGTATATCACGTTAATTGATTTGCAAATATCGTACCAACCTTGCATTCCCATAAATAGAATATTAAAACCAAGAAAGAAACATTGGCACAATACATAGAGCTTACTCAGAGTTCATCAGTTATACATACGCTGTGTGTGTGTGTGACGCTCTATTCAGTTTTTTTTATGTGCTTTTTATACATAAACTATACTCTGTTCTACCATTTTTTTAAATCCTCACCTGAGGATATGTTTTATTGATTTTAGAGAGAGAGAGAAAAAGAGAAAGAGAGAGAAGAGCATCAACTAGCAGCCTCCTACACGCACCCCAATTGGGCACCGAATACGCAATCCAGCTATGTGCCCTGACCAGCAACCAACCAGCAACATTTTGGTGTATGGGATGATGCTCCAACCAACTGAGCCACTTGGCCAAGACTGTTCTACCTATTTTAAATATGAAGTCTGATTATGAGAATGAATAAAATTACTTCTTTCAATAAAACAGTATCTACCAATAATTATGTGCATGACCAGATTTACGCATCTAGTTGTAATTAAGAAAGAAAAGGAAGAAATCCTACAAACCTCAGCTCTTGAAAGCACTAGTCCATGCTACATGCCTTTATAGGAATATTTTCTGGAGCTGATGATAGGCATAAAACAGGGGAACCTGGCTTATTAATAATTACGGCAGCAACATTCTGTCATGTCAGAAACCTCTATTGGTAGAAGGAAGGTGATCTTACCTTGCCTTCATATTTAGTCTTGTCATCTTTCTTTACTAGGAAGTCCAAATCTGTTTCTGCATAAGGTTCCTCAGATGTTTTCTGAAGAGGAGCTAAAGGGACAAAGAAAACTGGCCATTAATTTGGTGATTTTGGCTTATAAATAACTCAGCACTTAGCCTGAACAACAGCTGGACTGTATTGAGGCAGTTGATAAGCAAAACTAAACTGAGTTGCTGTGATGGTTTCTGAGGTGGCGAGTAAACGTGGAGGTGAAGGAGGGATACAAACGTAGAATAGAGTCCTTGATCCCTGACACTTGACACTGATCTGAAAAGACAAAGTCACATCCAACTCCACTTGAAACATCCAACCACAACAAATCAGTAAATGATGTGATGTGGTAAAAACCATAGCTTCCATCATTCCACTTTGTAAGGCCAGCTAAAGTATTACTTTCTTTATGAAATCTTCCTTGACTTTCAAACTTCACGAATTCTTTTACACACTGCTGCTTGAGCATTTATCATTTGTACTGTATTCGATGTTATTTTTGGATTTGAAAAGCTAATTCAAGTCTAGGTATCACATACTACTGAATATATTTTTTCATTATACAGGTAATTAATTTATACTTATTATAGAAAATTTGACTACTACTAAAATCATACTATTTTTGAACACTACCATTTGGTATATTTCCTTATAATCTTCTTTGAAATGCTCTTGTGCTCGCTCTCTCTCTCTCTCTCTCTCTCTCTCTCTCTCTCTCTCTCCACACACGCGCGCGCACACACACACACACACACACACACATACACACACACACTCTCATACTATGATTTTATGAGGGGATGTCCATACATGCCTTAGCCAGAAGGAGTTGTTGCTAATGTGATGACCTAGCAGTTAAATTCCAGAAAAGATGGAATCACATTTATTAGTGGGTAATATGACCGTGGGAAGAACCAGTGGCTAAGTCAGGGGGGAATGTGGCTTCCTTGCTCTGGATTTCTTCTCTCCGTCACTCTGTTTCCCTGCTTCCCTTTCCCACTGACTTCTCAGACATCTGGGAGATAACTTTTTTTCAGGCTCCATGGCCACTGGCAGTAAGATTGGGACTTACTGAGAGGACTGCCTTGGGGGTGATGGCTAAAGGGTAATATGGTAAGTGGTACTTTCATTCTTATTTGTCAGTGTCACTACCTTGTATGTATAGTTCCCTGGAGAAACTCACAGGATACAGGTGATTAAGCTGGGCCAGGATTTGAGCATCTCTAGGTCCCATGGTCAGAATGCCATTTATCCATCTAATGTCACAGTTATATCATCCTGGTTCTTATCTGTGGTGGCCTTGATGGAGGCTGGCCATCTAACTTTCAGAAGCCCTTTGCTACCCTCAGGTTCTGTGAGCCAAATAGAAGCCTTGCCATGGGTTTTTCATGGAGGTCATATTGAAATATGTAGTGAAGTACATGTTTGCTGCCCAGGTTATATGACCACTGAAGTACATGTTTGCTGCCCAGGTTATATGACCACTAAAGCTACTCTACAACAATGGACAATCCTCTGGGCTGCTCACTTTCTGCAGGATTTCTGAAAAGCTGGGAGATTCCAGGTATGCATTCACTATAATTGGCAAAACCCGTGACTGAGAAGCACCTGCCCTTAACACTATCAAGTACAGTGACAAAATTAGAAGCAGGGATGTGGGAGCCATACTGCCATCATCTAAGTCTTGTTCTTTCATCTATGAGACACACATTATAGAGGAATCTTTGTGCCTTAGCTTCTTCAACCACAAAGTAAGGGATATGAGAAAGCCTATTGGATCAGGTCACTAGGAGGCTTTAATGAGTTAATATGTAATAAGTATTTAATGGTAAACACTCAGTACATTTTAGCTATTATTATAGCTACATGGCATTAAAAATATTTTTTTCACATTCCTTATTTAATTTCAGAGAGGATAAATGTGGTACCCAAGACAACCAGCTAACAAGAGTCAGAGCTGACCTGTCAGCTCCCATCTCTAAGCTCCCTGCCCATGTTCCTTTTACTGTAAAACGAGTTTATCTTGGCACAGACTCAGTTACGGAGGAATCAGACAAATGTGTTTGAAAATCCGGTTCATGACCTGCCTGAGTAGAGTCCACACTCAGTGGTTACTCTCCAGAACAAAAGAATAGGACTGCTCTGCAGAAGGAGCACGTTGCTGGACCAAGGCCAATGGTACCTGTTCAGACATGTTGAAGATCTATTTACCTATTTTAAAATGATGAATTTGAAAAGCTGAGAAATAATCCATCATTCCTGCTTTGTTTATTTGTAACAAACACATCTCCCTTAAAATAAGGAGAGAGACAAAGTGTTGAGGCAAAGCTAGAAGTAAACATAATTTAGCTCTGGCAAAGAGCCATAGATCAGAGATCAGGAGAATCAAATCCTGTTTCCAGCCATCCAAGAGGAATGTCTCCATGGGTATCAGTGTTTGTGTGTATCTGTGGTATGTGTCTATAAGTGTGTCTGAGTGTGTGTGTTGAGTGTGTTGTGTATGTATGTGTGTGTATGGAAATTTCAGAAAAGAAATGCACTAAACTGTTTACATGGCTTGCTTCTGTACTAAATGGAGAATTATCAAAAGATCCTATGATTTTTCAGACAAATAACAAATGAAAGAATTTGTTGCAAACAGCGTTGCACAACAAGAAATGATAAAAGCAGTTTTTCATCTTGAAGTGAAATGACACAACATGGTAATTCAGTTAAAGAAATAAAGAATATTGAAAATGGTGACTAGGATGGTAAATATAATTTTTTTTTTCCTTTCTCTTGATTTCTTTAAAAGATTCATGATTGCTTATAGCAAAAAATTATAAAACTACTGGGGGACTTAACACAAGTACATGCAAGATTAATGATAAGAATAGCACAGAGGATGGGTGAGAGGTGTGTGGAACTATACTGCTGCAAATTTCCTATATTTTACTACATTAACTCAAAGTAGATTGACACAAATTAAGGATGCATATGATAATCCCTAAGAGAAACATCTGGAGAAAAACAATGCAAAGATGTATGTATGCTAAAAAGTCAATAGAGGGATTAAAAAGGAAGACTATAAGAAATTTGCTAACCCAAAAGTAGGTAGGAAAAAAGGAACAGAAAAATAAATAAAACATGAGACAAGTAGACCACAAATAACAAAATAGTAGCACTAAATCCAGCTGTGTCCTTAATTACATTGTATATAGACTAAACACTCCAATTAGAAGGCAGAGGTTGACAGAATGTATTTTAAAAGCAAGATCCAACTGCCTACAAGAAATATACTTTAAAAGAAAAACAAATAGAATAATGGGAAAAGTGTCTCATGAAAACAAGAAGCATGAGAAAGCTGGGATGGCTGTATTAATATACACTTTAAGACAAATAGCTTTCCTAAAGATAAGAAGGAAAGAAGAGACATTTTGTAATTATAAAAGGGTCAGCACATTGGGAAGATAAAACAACTATAGAGAAAAAAAACAAGATGGCGGCATAGGTGAGCAACTAATCTCTCGCCTCCCACAACAATTTCAAAACTACAACTAAAAGACAAAACGTCTATCACCCAAACCCCCGGAAAGCTGGCTGAAAGAGAAAGGAGCACAAGCGCTGAAAAGCTGAAAAGCCTAGGTACGGAGCCACGCGAATCGGGCTGGTGGCAGGCGACTGGGCCCATGGCTTTTTTTCCACCAGAAGAGAAACAAGCTCCCGATCACTTTGAAATCCAGTTTCTGGGGTCACGCGGGGAACAACCTGGTTAAGCATCTTAGGACAAAAAACATTCAAAATATTTGAAAAGGAAATTCCAATATTTATAAAGGTATGGACTAGACAATTCAAGGTTATTTCCTCTATAGCCTTCTATGATTTTGTGATATTAACATTCTGAATTCACATAGTACCAAGTGTATTGTATGTAAGCAGATATTAAAGAGATGGCCATTATTATTAAAAACAACTCATAAAACCACACTATTTGTATGTCAAGGACATTCTGTGTGATTTTCCTAATGGATGGAGTTAATGCCCCTAAACTAAAAGTCAGACATCCCCCGAGGGGTCCCAGATTGGAGAGGGTGCAGGCAGGGCTGAGGGACACACACACACACACACACACACTTTGTGTACCAGGCCTCTAATAAATTAAATAAAAAGACAAAGAAACCTATGTGGCATTGTAATAAGGAGTTATCTATTTCTTTAATCTTTTCGAAGAACCAACTTTACCACTCCATTGCTAATAGAATCTGATGTTAACTTTTAAAGGCCCATAATGGAGTCTATTTTATGCAGATGTTGCTTACACATTTATATTATTCCTCTGCTAGACTGCAAGCTTCTCCTTGCATCTAGGGACTTAGTTTTATCAAATTTCACATGAGTCCTCAATGCCTGTAGCATTTCATATCTGTGGTTTTGTTTTAAATACTACATATCTTTTTAAAAAAATATATTTTATTGACTTTTTACAGAGAGGAAGGGAGAGAGATAGAGAGCTAGAAACATCGATGAGAGAGAAACATCGACCAGCCACCTCCTGCACACCCCCCATCCGGGATGTGCCCGCAACCAATGTACATGCCCTTGACCGGAATTGAACCTGGGACTCTTCAGTCCGCAGACCGATGCTCTACTGCTGAGCCAAACCGGTTTCGGCGTAAATACTACATATCTTTAAACCACTGCTCATTTTAACAACCACAATGTCTACCCTAGGGGCAAAGCCACAAAGCTTCCTTCCCCAAACAACCTACCCAAGGCGGAAGGCTGGCTGGTTTTTGGTGACACCCATTTTGGGGAGGACTCAGGGTGGGGGGCCACAGGTTGCACTGGGCGGGTCTGTCTGGCTGCCAGTTTCATCAGACTCATTTGCCTCTTCTGGAAAATGTTCTGCACATCACCCAGCTTCTGTAAGACTTTCTGGGCATTGGCCTGTAAGAACAAAAGCAAATCATGAGGTTGCTCTGCATTGGGCCTGAGGACATGACTCATTCATTCCCTTTCACCCATCTCCCTGCCCAGCCCCCCTCCCCACGCCCAACCTCCCTCGTAGGCAAGTCATCCCATGTCTCACCTAGCTCCAGAATGTGCTTCTAGGAGTCTGACCCTCCCACTGATAGGCAATGACTGTGTTTCACTGCTGCATCTCCAGCGCAGAGCAGTACTCCCTAAGTACATGGTAAGTGGGTACATGTTCACACAGCCTGTCCAGTAATGTATTATAGAAAAGGATACCCTAGGCCATGGACGAAGAGCATTAGGCCAACTTACAGAACAGGGGAGTTTAAAAGTAAAGAATGCACCCTGAATAAAGGCCTTGATGGAGAAAAAGAGTTTAAGTGTTCTTGGGGAAAGAATTGGGTACCTAAGTTCTGAAACAGGGTCAAGGCACCTTTAGTTAAAAAAAAACAAAAAAAACAAACAAAAAAAAACACCCACACAACAGCCCAGCTGTGATGGCATCAAGCTATGAATCAGAAAGTCAGAGTTCGATTCTCAGCTGAAGAGAGACAGAGAAATAGAAACTTTGATGAGAGAGAAGCATCATTTCTAGAGACGAAGGGAAAGAGACAGAGAAATAGAAACTTAGATGAGAGAGAAGCATCATTGACTGGTTGCCTTCTGCACGCCCCCACTGGAGATGGAACCCACTACCTGGAATGTGCCCTCATGAGGAATTAAACTGATGATCCCTTGGTTCCTGAGCTGATGCTCAATTGACTGGCTGCCTTCTGCACCCCCTTCCCCCACAACCTGGCATGTGCCTAACAGGGAATTAAACCAATGACCCCTTGGTTCCTGAGAGGGTTTGATCCCCAGTAGGGGAAGAGCAGGGGGCAGCCGATCGATGTTTCTCTCTCCCTCTCCCCTCCTCTCTGAAATCAATAAAGAATTTAAGTGTCATTCAGTGTGACTCCTTCTCTCTATGTAAGTAGGGAAAGAAATAAACTGAAGAAATACCAGGGGAGAAATGAAACTCACAGACATTTCCAAAACTAAAAACTGACTACAGTGCTCTAAAGCAGGGGCTCAGGAAATAAGCAACAAGACCCAAATGTCTGAGTTTCACCACGGCCTGAATTCAGCTGAATGTTTCTTTTGGCCTCACTTGCAACATGACATCCCTCTAGCTCTGGTGGATCATGGAGAGTGGGTACTTTTCCTTTGTCCTGCTGACTCTGGCATCTGTCTCGTGGATGATTTTTTAAAAACATATTTTATTGATTTTTTGCAGGGAGAAAGAGAGAGGGAGAGTCAGAAACATCGATGAGAGAGAAACATTGATCAGCTGCCTCTTGCACACTGCCCACCAGGGATGTGCCTGCAACCAAGATACATGCCCTTGACGGGAATCAAACCCAGGACCTTTCAGTCCGCAGGCCGATGCTCTATCCACTGAGCCAAAACGGTTTCGGCTCGTGGATGATTTTAACCATAAAAAGGGACCCAGAATTAGAAGAGTTATGCAAGGTGCTTTGAGGATGTCTAATTCTGAAAGTACAAGTTCAGCACACACCCACAGAGGTTGCCACATTTTGCAACTGGAAAGTTGTCTTTATGTATGTATGTATGTATGTATATATGTATATATGTATGTATGTATTTATGCTGGGCCATTTTCTGAGGGAAGGAGCCAGTATCTCGGAGGCAGGCCAGAAGTGTCAGTTATAGAAAAACCGTTCCGCTGAGAGGGCAGGGCAGGGATAAACTCCGGATTCCACTGTGGGGCAGGGCGGAGTTATCCTCCATTAACTGGACTCTAGCCCAATCAGGGTCAGCCAAAACAGTGACATTACACCGGTGTAAAACCCCTGGGCTTGGTGAAATTCGTGCTCTCTTCCACCATGCTATAGGTGTGAGTGGGACAGAGCCCATGCTAGTATGAAAGAGGCTCTTTTGTTTATTACATCGGACTCGGCTCCCTGCTGGTCTTGGGGATCACGGAATCTCACAGAAATCTCGGTACAACACCGCCCTGTCAAGGCTGACCTCTGCACCAAGAGCTGGGGCTCATCGCACTCTTTGGAGAGCCTGAGTGCAGACCTCCACTGTCCATGTAGTAACCGTTAGCCTCTGAGCTCTTCAGCACCTGAAATGTGTCCGGTGTGAACTGAGCTGTGGAAAACACACACTGGATTTTTTTTTTAAATATATGTTTTATTGAATTTTTACAGAGAGGAAGAGAGAGTTAGAAACATTGATGAGAGAGAAACATCGATCAGCTGCCTCTTGCACACCGCCCACAGGGGATGTGCCTGCAACCAAGGTACATGCCCTTGACCGGAATCGAACCTGGGACCCTTCAGTCTGCAGGCCGACGCTCTATCCACTGAGCCAAACCAGTTTCAGCCACACACTGGATTTTGAAGACTTCGCATACAAAAAGAACATAAAATATCTCACTGATTTTTTTTATATCAATGGTATGTTGAAATGATGGTTCAGGTATAGGTTAAATAAAACATTGTTACACTCGATTTCACTTGTTTCTTTTTCACTTCTTAAAATGTGGCTACTAGAAAATCTCATTAGCTCACATATGTGACTTGCATTATATTTCTTTCTTTTTTTTTTAATATTTTTAATTGATTTCTAGAGACGGAGGAAGGGGGAGAGACAGAAAAATAGAAACTTTGATGAGAGAGAAGCATCACTGACTGGCTGTCTCCTGCACGCCCCCCAGTGGAGATTGAGCCCACAACCTGGCATTTGTCCTACCAGGGAATTAAACCGGTGACCCCTTGGTTCCTGAGCTGATGCTTAACCACTGAGCTACACCAGCCAGGCTGCACTATATTTCTATTGGACAGGTTGGTCTAAACCAGGGTTTGGCAAACTTAATCTGTAAAGGTCCAAACAGTGAAACTCATCAGGCTTTGCAGACCATCTGGTCCCTGAGGAAACTGCTGTACTTGGCTGTTGATGGAACTTGACGTACAAAAGTAGATGGCAATGCGGGCCCCTGTGATTACGTTCCGGGTCTGTGATGAAAGAGTCCCTTCAGAGAAGGTGCCCCTGGCTTCAGGTTCTGAGAGCAAGTCCCAGAAGAAACCAAATTCCCTTACGTCAGGAGGACGGCAATGCCAGTTTGATGGTGATTAGAACTGGTGATCAGCCACTACGACCTGCCCTTGTGGCCCAGCGATGAGTTTGAGGAAATTGAGACGTGGCTGTTAGCTGCTGCAGAAAGAAGAAATCTGATGGAAGGAATGACTGTCAAATTGGTGATGGACGCTATGCAGCCCTGGTGGGAGGTCGGTGCCACATGCTAGACCCCAACAACTCACCACATGGACCGGACAGGACTCGAATCATCTTTGCATCTATCCCTTTAGACCCCAGAGTGAATCGTGCAAATGGTTCACTGAGTTAAATGGAGGCATTCAGATTCCTAAGCTCAAACCAGGGGGAGGTGGACACAAGATTAACAACTGCATTCCCCCCGTTCTCCTATTAAAAAAAAAAAAAAAAAAAAAAAAAAAAAAAAATATATATATATATATATATATATATATATATATATATATATTAATTTTTACAGAGAAGAAGGAAGAGGGATAGTTAGAAACATCAATGAAAAAGAAACATCAATCAGCTGCCTCCTGCACACCCCCTCCTGGGGATGTGCCCACAACCAAGGTACATGCCCTTGACCAGAATCAAACCTGGGACCCTTCGGTCCGCAGGCCGACTCTCTAGCCACTGAGCAAAACCGGTTTTAGCATCTCCTATTTTTACTAGCAGGTCCACTCTCCACACCACAATCTGAATTATTTTTTCTTTTTTTTTTCAGAATTATCTTTCTGAAATCTAAATCTGATCATGTAACTCACTTGTTTAAAAGCCCTGCAGTGACACCTCATGTCTCATCCTGCAGCACCAGCCTCTTCCTACTTGATCCTGACCACTGCCTGCCTTGTGTGCCCCTCTGCCCCTCCATTTCAGATGCACTTGGACCTAGGAGCATTGCTGAGGAAACGTTTGTCTTCTTCTTTTAAAAAAATATATTTTATTGATTTTTTTTTACAGAGAGGAAGAGAGAGGGATAGAGAGTTAGAAACATCCGATGAGAAAGAATCATCGATCAGCTGCCTTCTGCACACCCCCCACTGCGATATGCCTGCAACCGAAGTACATGCCCTTGACCAGAATCGAACCTGGGACCTTTCAGCCGCAGGCCATCGCTCTATCCACTGAGCCAAACCGGTTTCAGCAAAACATTTGTCTTCTACTCCACTGTCAGCACCATGACTGCGGGCTCTGTACGGGACTGTATTATCAGGATAAAGCACAAACTGGGTACCCAGTAAACATCTGAAGAACTGAATGTTGCTGTTTGCTACTGAGATTGTTTCATTCTCTACACGGGGCGCTCAGAGTGAATGAGGAAGAAAAATCAAAACAGCCGCGCTAAGGGGGCAGCTCAATCGCCATGTAGGGAAATGCCTCCAGGAGCCTCAGAGACAAGGTGGCTGCTACAAGAACAACACTGTAATGGCTGATGTTGTGTTGATAATTATGTCTTAAATGTAGCAGATTCAGCGTTTTAGACTTAGAGTACCAGCTTTTTAGAAACAAGTTTTATTTTTTAGAATAGTTTCAGATTTACAGAAAAATTGCAAAATAGTATAAAGAGTTCCCATATATTTCACACTTAGTTTCCACTGTGGCACATTTGGAGCTTACATTACTATGGTACATTTGTTATAATTAATCAATCAATATTGATACATTATTCTGATTTTTAAAAAATTATTAAATAAAGTACATACTTTATTAAATAAAGTACAAAATTATTAAAGTAAATACTTTATTAAATAAAGTACAAAATTAGTAAACAAGGTACATACTTTATTAAATAAAGTACAAAATTATTAAAGTACATACTTTATTATATACTGTGGGGATCGAGCCCACAACTCAAGCATATGCCCTTGACCAGAATCAAACCCAGGACCCTTCAGTCCACAGGCCAATGCTCAATCCACTAAGCCAAACCAACTACAGTTGTTTTATGTTTTTTATATAAAAAATTTATTTTAGAGAGAGAAGAATGGAGAAGGAGAGAGAGAAACATCAATCAGTTGCCTCCCACATGTACCCTGACCAGGGATAGAACCCACAACCTGGGCATGCATCCTGACTGGGAATCGAACCTGTGACCTTTCAGTGTAGTGGGCATATATTTCTCCACCAGTGTCTAGTATTCCTCTGCCCAAGGCCACAGCCCTTACTAGCTGCCTCTCTTACAGTCACAGCTGCATCACTTCCTAGGTCCTCTTTGCCTTTCAGGATTTGGGCTGTAACTGCTCTCTGTTTCTTGCTAGCCCCAAGGGGCTTCACCATCCCTGTTGGATTCCCTAAATCCTGCCTGTACCTTTGTAAAAACTGCCTACATCAAGCTCCCTAAAAATAGGTGAATCAGATTCTCAAAAGGATCCATGACTCAAAAGAGGGGAAGAAGCCTTTCAAGCAGAGGGATGTGTGAAGTGATGGGGTATCAGAGGAAGGCGTGCTATCCATAACTCCTGGCTTCCCAGAAGAGGGCTCCTCTCAAATGCAAATCAGATCAAGGTATTCTGCTTAAATTCTGTAGTGGCTTCCCGCTGCTCTCAGAAGAAAGGCCAGACTCCCAAAATGGCCCACAGAGCCCCACCTTGTCTTTCCCTCTCTAATCTAACCCCAAACGTTCTTTGTCTGCTCTCTGTTCTCCAGCCACCCTGACCCTGGAGTTCTCCCTCCAGCCCCGGGGCCTCTGCACATGCCGTTCCTTTGGACTGAAAAGGACCCCCATCTTCTCTAGGCCTTGCTTCAAGTGACCCCCGGTCCAGGTCAAGTTCCGCTGTCACATACCCGATAGGACCCTGACTCCCCCTTCCAGAGCACTTACTTCAGCTTGGAACACATTTTTTTTGTGTGTGTTTTGTGTTTGACATTTATTAATGTCCGCTTCTCCCACTACCCTGTAAATTCCATGCAGGATGGAGCCGTGTCTATTTCTGTTTGCTGTGGATTCTTGGCACAGTGCAAGATACGGGAGAGATGCTCGTGAAGATTTGTAGAGAAATGAATGACTGAGTCAGACTGCCAAGAAGCGGTTTGCCGGGAGTCTAAAAGGCCCCCTGAGGGCTCAAGAACTGGTTAACCTGCTCGGTGTATCCTGCCTGGACTTCCTTCAGCAACAGGCAAAGGCCCCCCATGCCTCCTTCCAAACCACAGGATGAAAACAACGCACCGCCATTACCTTCACATCAGCGGTGAGAATCAGCTCAAACTGGTTGTAAATCTCCTTGGGGCTGGGCAGCGGGTCCTCCCTCGCTGTGTCCAGGAATGCCTCGATGTCGGTCAGGGCGACGTCAACACCCTCTCGAGACTGGTACTTGTCTACAGCTTGGGAAGCCAAGAGGTAGATCCCCGCTTCACACCACCGGCTGACCTTTTGGAAAGGAACACAGTGCCCCGGGCAGTTAGCCTGACTGCCCGCAGCTCAGCCACCACAGTCCCTTGGGAGGTCTGAGCTCCCCGGGGTCTCCCAGGATTCCGGGACACTGGGAACTTGTTGTGGGACAGCATCAAGTCGAGAGGTCTGACCCCTATAAATACAACTGTGAGGCGGACAACCCAAACCAATTTGACATCTGTCCACTTCTCAGGGAAGTCACCTAACCAATAAAGTGAATTGTGTAAACATTCTGCCCTTTTCTAGTGACAGCAATTACTGCCCCTCCAGGAGGAGAAAGGCAAGTTCTTTTATGTTTGGTCTCACAACAGAGAAATGTAACCAATGACTTTTCGGGATGACCTTCTAGGCCACTTGTCTTACCTCCTAACTGGTTAAGGGAGCTCAGGGTAACTAATAACGAATGAAGCATCAGACCTGGCCCCTACGCATTTTGCTGCAGGAGGGACTGTCCTTTTAACAAAAAGACTTTCCTCTTTCCACATTTGCACTTATTGTCATTTGTCTTTCCAGGGAAGCATCCAAGAATGAGAAGTTCTGTAGGTCAGAGCAGCAGTACTCACACTTTCCAGAATGCTAGGATGAAACCAGGTAGGTGATGCATTCTAACAGTTCAACTTTTTAAAGATGTACACAGAGAGACGAGGGCCCTGGTGATGCCTGAATATTTACATGAGCTGCCAGAGCAAGTACACCTGCATTTCCATTCCAGGAGACCTGAAGAGCTACGTCAAGTAACTACACAGGGGAAAGCACTCCAGAGGAGTTACCGCGCTAAGTGGGAAATTACAGGCAACTTACATCGGTATTCTATTTTCCCCCTAAATCATCTACATTGAATGTGTACTACTTTTAGAATAACACATACACACACACACACACACACACACACACACACACACACACACACCAATAAATATATTTAAAAGTTAATAATTATCACTGTGTAGGGATGAGAAGGGAAGTAGGATGTGTAGGCATCCACCAGTAACTTCTTCCCTTCTCTTTCCTACAATTTTGGATTTTCAAAGTAACAGGAAGTCATGCTTTAATATACACTGTGAAAACCTTGTCTTGAAACATCATGCCTAGATCTGCAGAAAACACTAAGCTGGGGTCTTCTGCAGTCACAGCAACTACTTGCTTTCCCAGACACACACACACACACACACACACACACACACACACACACACACACTCAGCTCAGCATGAGGCTGTGATCTCTGGAGCAAATATGGACTGAGGGAAACAGTGGTTGATCCTGCAGAGAGCTCAGTCCACAGAGCACACTGCGCACCGGGTCCCTCTGAACCGCGTGCTTCTGGAACAGCTGGGTTTGGCTGACACTAAAACCCCTCTGGCAATGGGATGACATAAACAGCCTGGCTGGGTCCCCCCAGTTACCGCAGAGAACGAGATGTAGGAATGGAGCTCCCCCACTCATGGCCATGAGCCACGTGCTGCTTGGGAACAGTTGGCAGGGAAGGCTCCAAAAGTCACTGCCCCTGCTGACTGGGCACTTGTCCAAGAGATCACTGCCAAAGGGCACCCGAGGCTGCCCTCGCTCCCTGCCTGCCCTCTGCTCACCCAGCATTGCTGTCTAGCGTCTGGAGTCTGGGGTTTGAATTGGCAGTCCTGACTTCAAATCTGCAATCCCCTATTTCCTTCATGTGCGGTCTCGGGCCGTCACTTACCTCAGGGTTTCTCAGTGTGTCCCTGTACCACCTGCACCAAAATCACAGGGGCCCTTGCTGAAAACATGGATTCTATGGCACCCCCCCCCCCCCCCCGAGACTTACTGAATCTCAGTCTCCAGAGTGATAAACCAGGGAATCTGCAATAGAGCAAGCTCACCTGGAAATTCTCACGCACTAAGTGTTGCAACGTTTGGACTGAACCACGTTGAGTATCAGTTTCCGCCTGTAAAATGAGGCCATTAATACCTTCCTCATAATTTGTCTTGAGGATTAGATGACATAACTATGCTCCCACTGGGAACTCTATAAGTGGTAGGAATGTATAAATGGCCATTATAACTTAAGCTTTTCCCAAAGGATTCACATCCCGAGGCCTTCAGATGAGAAGAAGCACTCTGCAAATATAGGGCTCGGTCTCTGTATGCTTGAAGGGGAATCAAAAAAATGTCCCACAGTGCCAAGCCAGAACACACTCCTTTTTTTTTTTTTTTTTTAATCCTCATATGAGGATATTTTTCCATTGATTTTTAGAGAGACTGGAAGAGAGGGAAAGACAGAGAGAAACACTGATGTGAGAGAAACACATCAATTGGTTGCCTTCTGCATGTGCTCCACCCAATCAGGGCTGGGCTGGGGAGGAGCCTGCAACTGAGGTACATTCCCTTGACTGGAATTGAACCTGGGACCCTTTGGTCTGCAGGTTGACACTCTATCCACTGAGCCAAACCAGCTAGGACCAGAGCACCCTCTTTAAGTCTGGGTCCACACCCAGAGAAGCAGACTCAATACATTCTAATAGGATGTGGTGGGATGACTGAGGCACTTTTGACCTTCAATACCCTGTGACCTAGACTCTGCAACTTGTAATGCCTCTGGGGCTCTGTTTCCCATGAAGTTGTTTATCTTCTCAGCAACCATGTGGGCAGGGAGGTCAAGTCTGATTAAGACTGCTTTACAGCCGAAGCCGGTGTGGCTTAGCAGATGGAGCGTCAGCCTGCAGATGGAAAGGTCCTGGGTTTGATTCCAGTCAAGGGCATGTACCTTGGTTGAGGGGAAAACCCCAGTAGGGGGTGTGCAAGAGGCAGCTGGTCAATGACTCTCTCTCATCGATGTTTCCAGCTCTCTATCCCTCTCTCTTCCTCTCTGTAAGTAAAAAAAACAAAAACAAAAACAAAAAACAAACAAACAAACAATATATATATATATATATATATATATATTTTTTTTTTTTTTTTTTTTTTTTTTTTTTTTTTTTAAAGAGACTGCTTTACAGAAAATTTTGCAGGCATCATGGTCATAGTTTTGTTTTGCTCACCTTGTCCAGCTGTCTATGTAATTCCAGAGACTTCTCTAAAATGTCGTGTTTTTTCTTGTTTTCATTGGAGAAGTCATCGCAGAGGTGCCTGAGCTCCGCGCACTTGGGCCTGATGGAGTCCGCTGCATGGTGGTGGCTCTGGATGAACTGGTCCCCGATCACTGCAAGCAGCTGGGCTTTTTCCAAGGACTCCTGCAAAGCATGACGGCCAAGTCATGACGAGGCTGCTGTGTGTCTGACACTGCGTGCTCCGACCCTAGAGAGAGGCTAAGGAGATGTCGGCTAAGGGTTTAGGACGAAAGTCTGGGGCTGGGGAATCTGGGCAGGCTCTTCCTTTCCCAGGAAATCTGGCCTAACCCAGGGCTATTGTCACTCTGAAGCAAAACAAGTCAATCATTCACGTCTTTGTTGGGTTCTGGGATGGGCCCTGAGGACACAGTGTTAACAAGCTAGAAACTTTCTGCCTAATGTAGGACTCACATATTAAATAAATTATACAAGTAATTACATTATTACAATGTGATAACTTCTAGGGCAGAGGTGTTATACTGCACAGAAGAGGAGACTCTGAGTCCCCCTGTCAACTAAATGGAAAAAGAAAAAGGACAGACATGTGGCCCTGAGGAGAGCAGGGAGTGAGCTGAAGTTAAAAAAAAAAAAAAAAAAAAAAAAAAAAAAAAAGGTTAAGAACTCTATGGGGGAGTCATGTGACTTAAGAAATATGTCTCTATAAACCCTTTCCTGTAACCATAGCTCACTGTCTGCTCTGACCTCGTCGGTTTAGCAACCACACCTCCCTCCGTCTGCATGGCTTGCTTTGTTCTAACCACATGTACATTATTTTCCTGTTTTCAATCCTCACAGGTTACTGAGGCTTCAGTGAGAAACAAAGCAAGCAAAACCCCCTGCCCTTATGAAGCTTACATGTTAATAGGAGACAACAAATGAATACCTTAGATAGTGATGACTGCCATGAAGAAAAATCACACAGGGAAGGGGAGGACAAGGAGTGTGGGTGGAGCAAGTTGCCATTTTATTTATTTATTTTTTAAATAAATAAATATATATATATATATATATATATATATTTAAAAAATAAAATAAATAAAGTATATATATATATATATATATATATATATATATATACTTTATTTTATACAAAGAGGGAAGAGAGAGGGACAGAGAGTTAGAAACATCAATGAGAGAAAATCACTGGAGATGTGTCCACAACCAAGGTACATGCCCTTGACCAGAATCGAACCCGGGACCTTTCAGTCTGCAGGCCAATGCTCTACCCACTGAGCCAAACCAGTTTTAGCGCAATTGCCATTTTAAATAGGATGGTGGGAGAAGGGCTCACTGAGCAGGTGCTCTCCAGGAAAGAATACTATCCTAGGAAAGGCCTGCTTGCCAGGTTGGCCTTGGGTGGCTTCTAGGAACATCAGGAGGGTTCCTATCGTCCCCATGGAGAATGGCTCACCATACCTAAACTGGGCAAACCATGTGCTTTCTGCTGGACCTCTGCTGTCTTTCTGGGAGTCTGGATTCTGGGATATGCCAGGCAGAGGCTGCCTACGTGACCAGCTACCAATAAAAACACTGAGCACTGAGCACTGAGCTGCCTGGTAGACAACATTTTACAGTGTGATCTCAACGCACTGCAGGGAGCGTTAAGTCCATCCCATGGGACACCACAGGAAGAAGAAGACTCTTGGAAGCTTGCACCTGATAGCCTCCTGAGAGTTCACCCCCTGCACCTTCTCCTTTCTGATTTTGCTTGGTATCCTTTCACTGTAATAGATTATAACCATGGGTATACTGAATTCTGTGAGTCCTTCTAGCAAATCTTCAGATCTGGGGGTGGTCCTGGGAACCCTTAACATAGGAACCAAGACCTGAAGTGAGGGTCCAGCCATGCGGTACTTGGCCTAGCAATATTTCCTAAACTTTTGACATATGTGTATCCCTTCTGTAATTTTCGTAACGCTGAGTACCCCTCGTACTCATGAGAATGTAGAATTAGGCACAGCTAAGTATGATGCAGTGCATATCCCCACCAAACTCCAGTGCAACGCCTACCCCCACCAAACTCTTCCCGTACCCCTGGGGGTACGCGTGCCACACTTTGGGAAACACTGGCCTAGAGGTTGGGCGTGTTTGACGTGTTCTGGTAGCAGGAGGAAGTCACTGTGGCTGGAGCAGAGTAGTAAGCAGGAAAGGCGTAGGCGGTGCAATAGTGAGGAGAGAGAGGGACCAGATTGGGGCGGGCCTTGCTGCCACTGTCAGCACTTTGGCTTTTACTCATTGTGACATGGGAGCACTGAAGGTTTTGAGGAGAGGGTCTCAAAGCAGGGGGCCCCGCCCTAGGGGCTACTGTAGTCATCTCAGTAAAGGATGTGGCTTCAACAAGGCTGGCAGCCAAACCAGCTCCTGCCTCAGTGCCATCCCCTGGGATCTCATGAGGAGAGCAGGGAGTGAGTTGAAGTTAAGAAAAGATACAGATCTGGTTTGGACAACTCTATGGGGGAGTCATGTGACTTAAGAAATATGTTTCTATAAACCCTTTCCTGTAACCATAGATCACGGCTCTGACCTCGTCTGTTCAGCAACCACATCTCCCTCTCTCTGCATGGCTTGCTTTGCTCTAACCACATGTGCCATATTTTCCAGGCAAAGCTCTCAGTTTACTTCCTGGCTAGCCTTCTCTATCTGCTGTTTTTAAAGCCAGTTCCTGCAACCCACCCACCCAAGCCCTCTCCCTCACTTTGTTTTCATTTTCTAACTACACTTTCCTCCATCTGAAAGTATCTCTGTTTACTTCATGTACAATTTCTCCCTCCTTTACCCGCTCCTACCAATAGGGAAGCTCCATAAATATTTGGTCAATATAATGAATGCCTGAGTGAATTAATGAATTGGCCAATGCACTAGATGATGCTTCGCTGGATTTGTGTGAAACAACATAGACCTGTGAGTCACCGCAGATGCCTGCCACATTCCCAGAGGTCTCCGGGAGCAGAGAGATCATAGGCACCCTTGCTGACTATGGTGAGCATCCAGTATACCTTTTTCCTTGGCTTAACTTTTTACAGTAACGCAAAGGAGTCATGATGACTCCCGGTGATGACAACTGGCCTCTCTCTTAACTTACAATGGCTCATGGTTTTAACAATCTCAAAACCCCTTCCCCCTACCTAGCCAGTCATTCACCAAGCCCTACAGGGCCCACATCCTTCTTAATAACTTTTTTAAAATATATTTTTAATTGATTTTTTACAGAGAGAGAATTAGAAACATCAATGAGAGAGAAACATCGATCAGCTGCCTCCTGCACACCCCCTTCTGGGGATGTGCCCGCAACCAAGGTACATGCTCTTGTCTGGAATCGAAACTGGGACCTTTCAGTCCGCAGGCTGACGCTCTATCCACTGAGCCAAACCAGTTTCAGTTTTCTTAATAACTTTCGAATTCTGAGCCCTTCTCCACCAACTCCTTGTCACTGTCTTTTCAGGCCTTCATGCTTTCTGCCTGGACAGCTGGCTTCTTTGTTCTCCTTCAAACCATGCTCCACACTATACTGATAAAGCAGCAATTCCAATTTTATCATGTCTACCTCACTCCCAAGCTTCACATCCTTTTTGCTCCCTACAGTCTTCAGGAGAAAATTCAAACTCCTGAGCAATGCATAAAAAGCCTTTCATTATCAGGTTCAACCCTGTGCTTCCTCATCCTCCACTTCCCTCACCCCCATCCTCTGCTGTAACCCCACTAACGGCCCATTTGTAGTTCCTCAAATATTCAGGCAGCTCAGACCTCCATGCCTTCTCTCCGTGCTCTCTCTGCCAAGGAAGCCACATCCTTCCCTCATCACCCCTGCCCCCAACTGCTCTGCCTCCCCCCTCCCACGGCACCCACTCTCCTCTGGAGCTAAATCTAAAATACCCTCTAGAGTTCATCTTCTCCAGGATATGTTCTCTAACTCCACCATTTTATTCTGATGCCCCTCCTCTGTGCCTTTCTGGAATCTGAGCACACACTTCACTGTACTATGATCACTTATGCCACGGACCCTGGCAGGCCCATACCAGCTATTATTCAACTTAAAACGGTACAAAGCACAAATTAGGTACTTAAATATAAATAATCGTTGTGCAAAACACAAAGGAGCAATAGTATACAAATCAAGCAGTGGCTATTTAAAAGAACTCGGGGTAAACACCCAAGGCAATAGTTCTGAACAACAAAGGTCCAGATGGACTGGTCACCATCCCTGAGGGGAGGTTGGTGGGGACTTATGGGGACTTATCAGGTGGGATTTTGAATTGTGTTGCTGACTGCTGTGCCCTCAGAACTTAGAACAGTGCTTGGCATGGCAGGATATCAGTAAATACTTGCAGAACGAATGGAGAATTGTGGGGAAGCATGGGATTTGGTTGGAAAGTTTGAAAGGAAGAAAATTCTGAAAAAAAGAGTGGGCTGAAGGCAACCCACCCTATTTATCAGAATTCTGACTTAGGGGAGTTTGGCCAAAGGCAGAACCCCTAATTTGTTCCTTAATCTTTCCAAACAAGTCTGGGCATGTGCAGACCCCCAGGTGTTTACCGAAATCTTTATGCTTAATCTTTAGGTGTCCTTGTTTAAAGGACACTGCAGACACATGTGTCCCCTCAAGATTACTTACCCTACTGATTGTATCTAAAAAATAAACTTTATCTCAAACTACTGTTACAATAAAAGCTTAAAGAGGCAGGCAAATGAGACTATCAGGTTCCTTTAGCCAGGCAATCCCTTAGCCCTCTTTTTTACAGCAGTCCTGTGTCAGAATAATCCTTCGTCCATCACTTGGTGTCTGCTGGTCAGCACCGGCAAAGAATGAATGAGACACTCTTCCTAGAACTGCTCGGCCACTGCACACTGAACCTGGGAGACATCCTGTAGCATAGGGTGGACTCCACCACTTCTGTGATGTCACTGACAACAGCTAACATTCATTGAGACCTGACTGCCTGCCAGGCACTGATCTGAACACTTCAACTATTTCTTTCACTCGTCACAACAAACCCTTTAATATGGGTGCTGCTTTACAAGAGAGGAGTGGAGGCAAAATAGCCAAGGTGACCCAGGGAGGAAGAGCAGAGCCAGGCTTCAGACTCAGGCAGCCTGGCTGCAGAATCTGGCTCTGACCACCACAC